ATGTGTGTGTGTACAAACATACATGAACAAACAGGAAGACTAGTTCTAGAGTTGTTACATTCCTAGAGATATGATTTGGGCTATGAAGAAGTAGTATAATGAACTACACTGGAATTTTTTACTGGGTACAAATATTTAGCCTTTTCTATTCAAAGAAAAAAATGTCTTTAGCTTCCTCACTGAAGTCATACCCACATCATTCTGTAATCTATTTTCATTTTTATTTAGGGAAGAAGCATACCCAAAGGGCAGCTAACACTCTCATTTTTAAGGTACAGATTAAAGGGGGAAAAGAATGGAAGAATCAGTTGGCATGGGCTCATGATTTAGAAGGGTTTTCTACACGTTGATCTAGTTAGTCACGTCTTCAGAGAAAAGAAACATGAAAGTAGCTGAATTATAAAGGCTTTGCAACTAGATGAATGGAATCAGATGTTCCTGAGTCTAAAAATGTAGAAATAGAATCTAATACATGTACGCTAGAGTTTGGACTTTGTCCATAACCTATTAATAAGCACATAGTGAAACCATTAGGATAGACAACAGTTTGAGTCCTGTTGAAATGATTCAGGGATAGTTGATTGACATTTTTTCAGTCCATCTCATTCCTGTGGCTATAACACAACGTCACAGACAGCAGTGTCCCTTACGGTCCCTCCAGACACTCTTCCTGTGGAGGAATCTAATTGCCACTCAAGGGCTGGCTTATGTAGATGGACGCCCAAATATTTATCTTTCTGAATATTAACTTTCTTTCAAATGCTAATAAGGGCTAAGCCCAAAACATTTTGGTGCTCTCCACACATAAAGGAAAAGTACAATGCAAACATTAAGCATTCTATTTTCATTGTGTGTGTGTCTTGTTTCATGTGTTCTAAAATATTTAATTTTAGCTGCAGCCTTGACACTTACTGGCTGGTACTTGGTAGAATTTCAACCATAATGGCTGAATGAATACAAAGAATTGTGCAATGAGTTTTTCTCGATTGAAAGTCATTATGGAAGTTTACTACATCCATCTCAGAATGTTTATGGCTTGGTGGTGATTGCAGCCATGAAATTAAAAGATGCTTGCTCCTTGGAAGGAAAGTTATGACCAACCTAGACAGCATATTAAAAAGCAGAGACATTACTTTGCCAACAAGGGTCCGTCTACTCAAGGCTATGGTTTTTCCAATAGTCATGTATGGATGTGAGAGTTAGACTATCAAGAAAGCTGAGCACTGAAGAATTGATGCTTTTGAACTGTGTGGTGTTGGAGAAGACTCTTGAGAGTCCCTTGGAGTGCAAGGAGATCCAACCAGTCCATCCTAAAGGAGATCAGTCCTGGGTGTTCATTGGAGGGACTGATGTTGAAGCTGAAACTACAATACTTTGGCCACCTGATGCGGAGAGCTGACTCATTTGAAAAGACCCTGATGCTGGGAAAGATTGAGGGCCAGAGGAGAAGGGGATGACAGAGGATGAGATGGTTGGATGGCATCACAGACTTGATGGACATGAGTTCGAGTAAACTCCAGGAGTTGGTGATGGACAGGGAGGCCTGGCGTGCTGCGGTTCATGGGGTCACAAAGAGTCGGACACAACTGAGCAACTGAACTGAACTGAACTGAACAAAGAATATGGCTAATGTGTACAGAATTTCTTGCAATAACCCATATAGCACTCCTCTTTTCCAATTCTGTTCACTGGAAACAAGGACACTACACAAGCCCCAAGATATATAGGAGGATATAACATCTGAGGAATGACCTACTGCTAGATAAGAAACCTGGATGAGTTGTTTTCAGTTTAAGAAAAATGTATGAGGAATAATGGGCTGAAATGTTGCATATGTTTTGATGGACATCTTCAGTAGTAACTTTTTCATTCCCTTTGTGTTTATATTTTATTTAAAGTAAGGTATAAAATATTACTGCCATTGGTGGAGGGCAGTTATGATAACAGTGTTCTATTTCTATCCCCTTCCGCAGAAGGCGTGGTGGAGAATGCTGCTTCGCTCTGTGGGTTTCTGCCACAGCCCACTGGCTCCTCTGGGATGACAGAGCCACATGTGCTTTTCAAGTGCAGCTACTACCCTTTTCTCCTAGCAACCATATTATGTTAAAGTGTGGTTACCGGGGTTGCTAGGATATTCTTCTATTCTTGTCCTCCATGACCAAACCAAAGGGAAGAGAAAGTGTAAACCAAACCAGAGTTGAAGATATAGGGAGAGAGACTCAGGAAAATAAAGTGCCCTCCTCTTATTTCAAAGAAAAAAAATCTCAGCAAATTACTTTGTAGTTAATGCCTTAAGTAAATTAATAATTTCTTTTCTTGGGGTAAAATCAGAAAAAAGTTTAAAGACAACCTACAAAATAATGGCTATTAAATATTTTAGGGTGATAGGACCACTTTAACATTATTTGTTGAAGGCCACTTTTTCCCAAGAGAGGAAGAGAGGAAAGCATCTGTTTTTTAAAACTTTTTGTTTGTTTGTTTGGGGAAGGATGAGCACCGAAGAATTGATGGTTTTGAACTGTAGTGCTAGAGAAGACTCTTGAGAGTCTCTTGGACTGCAAGGAGATCAAACCAGTCAATCTTAAGGGAAATCAACCCTGATTACTCTTTGGAAGGACTGACGCTGAAGCTGACACTCCAATACTTTGGTCACCTGATGCGAAGAGCCAGCTTATTGGAAAAGACCTTGATGCTGGGAAAGATTGAGGGCATGAGGAAAAGGGGGTGACAGAATATGAGATGGTTGGATGGTATCATTGACTCAATGGATATGAGTCTGAGTGAACTCCTGGAGATAGTGAAGGACAGGGAAGTCTGGCGTGCAGCAGTCCTAAGGTTGCAAAGAGTCAGACACGACTGAATGACTTAACAACAACAAATAGCCAATTAGGGCTTACCTGGTAGCTCAGTTGGTAAAGAGTCTCCCTTGAGTGCAGGAGATCACCTGCAATGCAGAAGACCCGGGTTCAATCCCTGGGTCAGGAAGATCTCCTGGAGAAGAAAATGGTAACCCAACTCCGGTATTCTTCCCTGGGAAATCCCATGGACAGAGGAGCCTAGAAGGCTACAGTCTACGGGGTTGCAGAGTTAGATATGACTTACCAACCAAACCACCACCACTGCAGATTAACAATGGTATGATCGTTTCAGATGAACAGTGAAGGAACTCAGCCATACATAAACATATAGAGAGGAAAATATCTTAAAACTGTCAGAGTGATCTGAAAGATCCTGAACTATAATTACCATCATGTTTCACATATGAAAGGTTTGAAATACACACCATGCATCACTGAACTGAAGACATCATCAGCTATATAGTACATACTGATTTCTGAAATGTTAAAATGTGAAATAGCATGCATCTTAGAATTGTTTAAACATGGCATACTGTGCTACTTCATTTGATATTTCAATCTATTCTGAGATAAAACATCTTCCTTATTTATGGAAAAGGAGGCAAATTTTCTCAAGCATCATATGCTAGTAAGTGCTAGTGTCAGAACCCGAATCCCTATCTGTTTAACTGTTATGTTCAAACTCTTCATTATGCCATGCTACTTCTTTGGCTTTTCACACAGATAATAAATAAAAATGGTTATCAACTAGCATGCTTATAGAAGTTTATAGTTTGTCATATTCCTAGTAATTCATTAGGTATTATTAGCCCCGTTTTTAAAAAATGAGACAGAGTGGACCCCGCAAGATGGAATGACTTGTTCATTGTCACATAATCAGAAAGTGACAGAGCCAGGAGTGAAACCCAAGCTAAATCCCTCTTAATCCAAACCATGTTTGACTAAGGTCAGACATTAACTAACCACGAGGCCTGAAGTTGGATCATGGACATAAAGCTTATTCAAAGAGAAATATATTTGTTGGATATACAAGAAGAGCTGTTGCACACATCAAACGGCTTCATTGGTTTATTCAACGAATATTTCTTGAACAGCTACTTTGAGATTGGCTCTGTTTGAAAGCTGGTATACAGTAGTGAATAGATGACATAAAAATCACACAGAACTTCTGAGAACTATCAACAGAAACAAGGTGAACGAGAGGAGGAGCTTGCGGTTTTACACAGAGGCGTAAGAAGGTGTCCCTGAAATGTGACACTTGAACAAAGAAAGATAAAGGAGGTAAGGGAGTGAGCCACATGGATGTCTGTGGGAAGAACATTCCAGGCAAGAGGAGCACAGGGTCTGAGTTGGGAATAGTCTGGCCCACTGCGTGAACAGACAAAAAGGTGTATGGTTGGGCCAGGGCCTTCCTGGTGGCTCAGTAGTAAAGAATCTGCCTGCCAGTGCAGGAGACCTGGGTTCGATCCCTGGGTTGAGGAGATCCCCTGCAGAAACAAATGGCAACCCACTCCAGTATTCTTGCCGGGAGAATTCCATGGACAGAGGAGCCTGGCACAAAAGAGTCAGATGTGACTTAGTGACTAAACAACAGCAAAAACAATATGGCTGGGCCAAGCAGCAAAGGTGGAGAGTGGAAAGTGATGGATTCTGAGAAATGGGGTGGGCAGGGGATGAGTTGGTGAGGGAGATGTGGACAGATCACACAGGGCCTTGTGAACCAATGTAAGGATTTGGGGATTTGTTCAGAACAAGATAATAAAACTTACGCAGAGGAGCATAATGGAATTTGGAATCTGATCAACCTCAACAGATTGATCCGAGGCATCCCAAGGATGTCTACTTCACCAGGCCATATAATCTTGGGATACCTGGCAAACAGATGTTACTCTGTGTCTCCCTTGCTACTGGATTACAAAGCATGGCTTATTTCAAAGAGGGTCGACAGATGAGCTTCCAGCTTCACGGACAGTTACTACATAAATACGTATTAGAGACCAATTATTTGTGTGGGACATTTAAAGAAAAGCTTCTGCACCCCTCTAAAAAATTGGTCCCTGTTTTCAATAAGCTTATAACCTGGTTGTGAGATCATAAAAGCCTATATCAAGTTTTCATTTGTGGAGGAGTAAGCACAGAATTATGCTGGGGGTAGCCAGAAACGGTTCTATTGAAAGCAATGTGTGAGATTTTCCAAGTAGATAAAGGCAGGTAAAACATTCCTTCTAGAGGTAATACTATAAGCAAAACCCAGGAGACTTATAATAGCATGGCCTGTCTTTTAAAGATAGATTCATTCATTGATTCAATGTGACTGGGGTATTAGGTGCCTGAGAAGAAAAAAGCAATCAGGGACAGACAGGCAGGCAGGGAGGAATCAGGGAGAGAGACATCTGAATTTTATCTGTAGGTGATAGGAGACAGTGGGTGCTTCCTAAGTCTAGGGCAGGATCAGGAGTAATATGCTTGGTCATCCTGGCACTGGTGTGGAGGACAGGTGGACAGAGAATGCTGCCAAGGAGTCCAGGCAAGATGTGGACAGTGAACTGGAAGAGCAGAAATGGGGAAATGGGGCAGAGGTAAGAAGTGCCCAAGAGGTAGAGTAAGCCTTGGTTGGGGATAGTTAGATATAAGCAGGGTGTGATGGTTGTTGGCGGGGAGGATCAGTCAAGGTTGATTGTTGCAATTCCAGTGTGGGTGACTGTGTAGATGCCACCCTTGGATAAGAATGTGGAAATGGAAAGGGTTTGCTCATGGAGAAGACAATACACGTGTTTATCTTAAAACAATAAACTATGGAGAAAAAAAGAAAGAACATGTGTCATTGTTATGATACAGGCAGTTTCCAAGGAAAGAGAGGCCACTTGGAGGTGGCCAGATGAGGGTTCATGAAGGTCTTCGGACTTGAGCTTAGACCTTCAAAGATGGTCAGGATTTAGAAATATTGAAGGGACCCATGTACAGTGATCCAGGCAGAAAAGTGTCTGAGCAAAGGCACAAAAGTGGCAGAGTAGAAACTATTTTCTGGAAGTAAGCATATATATTGGTCTTTGCAGGTAGAAGTGTGGTGTAAGAAAGAAAATGAAGACATTCATCTTCAAACAGTGCAGAGTCTGCCTCTGAAATCTTCCTTTAGGAGGGAGCATTCACTACATTGTAAAGCATCCAGATCCATGGTTGATCAGCAATCCCAGATGACTAGTGGGAACCAATATAAATATCATGATGACATGACAGTGATCTCATCTGAATATTACAGTTCTTAGGCATGCTAGGATTCAGGAGTTCACTAATTAGCTTTATGGCCATAGCTAGGATTCGGTTGTCCAAAATCCCATCTCAAGATTAAACACACATTTTAGCAGTATAGTATTAAATACTATAAGCATTGGCATGTCGAGTTTTTTGCAAACACCTCTTAACAGTATTACAGTTACATTTAAAGTGTCAAAAAACAAGTTTAAACACACATGCAATAATTTATTTAAATTGAGCTCATTTTACTATGAAGTATTTAATTGTTCTTTTAAGTTAAACTAGATAAATTATATAATACAATTTTCACATTGTACAAAACAATTACTGGTAAAAATAACCTTCTTAAAGTCTCTATCATATTTTCTATCACATCAGGCACTATGACAATTACATTTTAATTCCTTCCCCAAACACATAACTTTAAAACTTACTATTTTAAAGTCTCAGCTGTAAAAATATCCCTTATTCTGTTGTTGACCAGTCACTCAGTCATGTCCAACTCTTGTGACCCCATGGACTGCAGCATACCAGGCTTCTCTGTCCTTAACTATCTTGCAAGTGGATATGGAATACTCATACATTTGTAAAGTCCATCATTGCAAAACAAAAAAAACCAACCAAAGCATTTGCTATAGTTACTTATTTTCTTGGAATACATTCAGATGTCTTTCTTTCATTTCCCCTTGGTAACAATCAAATCCCTAACAGCTCTTGATAAGTCTTCATTTCTTGCTTCAATGCTATCCTTGAAAACAAAGGCATTCTATGATTCTGTATATGTCATTATGAACCAAAATAAATCACAGATAAAAGAGGAGGTCAGATTGCTCCACTTTAGGAAATATTGTTTCTCCTATAATTGGAAACTTTGCATACATGTTGGTTACAGGGAGATCTGCTAAACATCTGTCAAAAAAAAAAAGAGTACCATATCCTTCCTTGTAATTTTAAGCTGCCTCCGCTTCTTCTCTGTTACAGCTTTATTCATTTTTATTCACTTCACTTCCATTCTGGCTCCACACTCTATACAGTTACCATATATAATTTTTCCAGGAGCTTAGACACAGTAAAACTGCATTCCTATCTTATTACCTAAATATGCATTTCAGGAACATATTTCTTTTGGTTTTCTACCTCTGTTAAATGTGATCTAAATTTTCCAATGCTCCTCAAAATTCTCTACCAGTTAATTCTGCTTTCAATTCTCTGAAATGTACCTTGGAGCCCAGAACGCAGGGAAGCAAGAGCAAATGCGAGACAGAGCGGCTCATTCCTGGGAAATTCCTGGAGGGAAGTCAGATTTCTTGCCTAAGAAAAATAAGCTCGCTTCTCCCCCTGGTGCCCGGAACTTGGGATGCTATCAGCCATATCTCCTTGAATGAGGGAAGGCAGGAGCATGGTCTCTTCTTCCTCTGACCTCTCATTCCAGGGTTTTCTGAACTGCAACTAATGTATTTGGAGTAGTACAATACATTGGTTTGAAATGGACTGATGTCATGTCAGTTTAGAAAGAATTAAATGCAGAAAATTCCCTTTATATTTCAGTCTGATAGGCTATTATGCCTTTGGTGCTTCCTTATTTAGCCTTATTTATTTGCAATTAATGGAGGAGTAAAATAAAGTATTAATATACATAAACATGTATATATTCTTTGGGATTGAATATATTATATATTGTTAGCAATACATTACACACATACATATATATACATATATATTTGATAGCCCAGCTTTGCAAAGGATCCTGAGTGCCTTACAAAGGACTGCCTTTATGAATCAATTTAAAAAAATCAAAGGTCAAACATATACACCTCCTGGAGGCAGGCAATTTTGTCTGTTTTGTTCTCTAATAAATCTGAATCTCCCAGAACTGAGCCTGTTATTTAATAAATACTCAATTAGTTTGGCCACCTGATGCAAAGAGCTGATTCACTGGAAAAGACCCTGATGCTAGGAACGATTGAGGGCAGGAGGAGAAGGGGGCGACAGAGAATGAGATGGTTGGATGACATTACTGACTCAATGGACGTGAGTTTGAGCAAACTCTGGGAGGCAGTGAAGGACAGGGAAGCCTGGCGTGCTGCAGTCCATGGGGTTGTGAAGAGTCGGACACGACTGAGTGACTGAACAACATTGACAAAGTATTAGGTAAAAGAGAAACTTCACTGCGTGAGCCACATAGAAAAAGTCTGCTTCTCATTCAGCATCAATCCTCTTCTACGTCACAATTTTTTTTCCAAAATCACTTGTTCTCCATCCCCAGATTATTCCTATAGAAGCCAAATGCAGTGGGACATTAGAAACAACCAACCACAAGACATTACACAAAGTGAATATGATTTCTGCTTTGTGGTTTGAAAGACCTGCAGTTAGACACTGATTTCTTCCTTTCGTTTTTATGATCTGAACTTTAGCTTTCTGTTTATTTCTCTACTTTTGAATGACAGTTCATTACTCTGCTCTCAAATAAGAGAATGAACATAAATGAAAATTAACCTTATTTCATATCACATTCAAAAGACTGCTTTCCCAGTGAATTTGTGACTTTTAGCACTCATTTTCACTTTGAAATTTGTATTCATAGCCGGTCAAAACTATGGTAATTTACTTTTGCTCATTACACAAGGTAACACTTATTAGATTGACAGCTCCTTGTGGAACAAGTTAACAAAATGTAAGTAGGAAATTCTTTGTTCACTTTTTTATGAACTTTTTTAACAGCCAAACATTTGGTCAATTGACTAAATAATACATTTAATATTATGAAAATTCCTCATTCAGCATGCAAGGAAAACTAGATTATTATCTTTATTCTGTCTTCTAAGCTGAAAAAACTTTTTGTCATTTTGTATGTTTCCAGTAAAAGCATTAGGAAAAAAAGCAAATTCTAACATTTGTTCCAGGACATCTTTATTCTATCTATGAGCTAAAATATTAGAGATGAGGAGATGGGAGAAAAAAGAATCCATTATTTTTGTGGACTCAGATAGTTTCAAGGTACCTTTTGAGCTTATTATGCTCCGTGATTCTAAACTTCCTTGTCTGTCTATAACCTTGGGGAAATTCCACTACTTCTAAAATGCTACATTTGTACCCTAGAGTCTGGAAGCAAAGCCCAAAACGGGGTTCAAATAGTCACAATTTCTTTCAAGGATTAGGTCTAACCTTGAATGAATGAATGATGAATATTATATGCTATTTCCCAATATTTGCTTCTATTTTCATATAGAAATATTTTAGATTTCTCAGGGATGAATAAAAGCAATGCTCCAGGAAATTTCATAGCATTCCCCTGGAACTTTCTCCATTGATGATTTTGCTCCTCACAACCAGCAAACCTAGTCCTCTCTAAACCTAAAATAAATGTTGAAAAACTTTTCCTGGGTTCTGCTACCTACCGCAGGCTGCCATGACCTCTTCTCTATTTAGTCCTCACCTCTCCATAGTTCATTCAAACAACTAGTCTACATGCCATGTGTTCTCAGGTTCACCTTCTGTTCTGGCTTCAGTCTTAACATCAGTTGGGTTCAGCTTCTTCTCCAACACACAGGTGCTTGCTTCTTTCAAAGGGCACCTCTGCTTTCCTATTTGGATGTCAGTGAGCTGATTTATACCTGAGACAATTTTTATGCATTTCTTGGACCACCCACATACACCTCCCCCAACAATGACACTCCCCAGCACAATAGGGGTTTTATTGTTAACTGTCTGGAGGGACCATAAAAGGAGGTACAACTAATAGCAAAGTACTTTTAAAAAGAGTCCTGAAACATTATTTATGCTAAAATAGCATACAATATTTTTGAAAGATATTCTTCAAAAGTTAAGTGGGTAAAGCTAAACAGTCTCATCTCAAAGGAGAAAAAAAGAGAATTTGCTACAATGTAGAGCCCTTTGTGGGCTTCCCAGGTGGTGCAGTGACAAA